GACTTCAACTCCCAGAATTCCCCAGAAGTCCACACGTCTTCAAGTGCCCAAGGTTGAGAAACACTGGATTATAGTATCTTTTTGATCTTATCCTTAATGCACTCAGGTTGATAAGACACCCACAAAGCTGCTTCCTTCTGTGGATGGTTAAGAAATGGGAAGCCAGTGGCTAAACTAAGTGTATTCCCGCCCCAAAACCTTGGGCTGAAAGTGAAAACTATGCACCGTGTGAAAGAGCTCCTGGAGGTGTCTTTCCGTCAAGCATCCACGAAATTCAGGCAATCCGATGATTTCTCGCACACTTACTGTGCATAACCATCATATGATTCCCTTCCGGGGTAAGCAGTGTTAGGCAAAGGGCAGGAAAAGACGCAAAAATTATGAAGATTATTTGATCCTCCTTCATTCTCCCTGTAGGATCAGGCCACCTCAGCATACTTTTCCCATGCTGGCCGCTGACTTTTGTATTCATATCCATTTGTTCTTGAGCCTCTCTCTTCTTATACAGCAAACACGTCTCTCAAGCATCCCATCCCCGTTGCATTTGGCTTATGTGCAACGTTTCTCCAGAAACAGCTGAGCCTCACCTCCATGTAGCCTCCAAGTGGGCAGAAGCACAGCCTTATGCACAGCCAGATGACACACAAGGACATCACAAAACAGAGGTTCTTGGGGGAAGGAAGAAGGAAGGAAGGAAGGAAGGAAGGAAGGAAGGAAGGAAGGAAGGAAGGGAGGAAGGAAGGAAGGAAGGAAGGGAGGAAGGAAGGAAGGAAGGAAGGGAGGAAGGAAGGAAGGAAGGAAGGGAGGAAGGAAGGAAGGAAGGAAGGGAGGAAGGAAGGAAGGAAGGAAGGGAGGAAGGAAGGAAGGAAGGAAGGGAGGAAGGAAGGAAGGAAGGAAGGGAGGAAGGAAGGAAGGAAGGAAGGGAGGAAGGAAGGAAGGAAGGAAGGAAGGAAGGAAGGAAGGAAGGAAGGAAGGAAGGAAAGATCTGCCAGATAGAGGTTTTTTAAGCTGATGGGCTGTTTCCTTGGTGACATTTGCTCTTGGCTAAGCAGCAACACGTCTGTTGAAACCCAACACCCATGAAAATAAAGACATATTTTAAGAACAGGTGGAACTGGCATCCTTTACTCCATGGTACAATCAGGGAAAGCTCTTTTGGCCATCTCCAGTGCAGCCGCCTGAGATCTAGTGCTCTCCAGAGGTCTGCAGGACCACACCACCTTCCATCCTCAGCCTGTAGGACTGCAGAATTGGAGAAACGCTGCGCTTTCTGCACTCCAGGGTTCTCCCTCTTTGCAATGTCCAGGGTGCCCTTCCCCTCCCTTTGCAGTTTCACTGCAATCTACAACAGGGAGCCTCCGTTGCCTGCTGCAACCCTCGGCGCCTGTTCTGCGGGTCTGAAAATTGATGGCTGCATTTTGGAGACAAAGTTCAAAGTTCTTAACATTGAAGGGGAATACTAAAATGGAGTGGAAGTGTTCAAGTTCATCCCAGGCAGGGACATCCATGGGGCTGGGTCAAAAAAGTCAAAATGGTGATTGGAAACCTGCCTCCTCCCCTGCCTTCAGGGAGGACTTTAGTGGCCAGGCATTGCTTGAGTTTGAAGCACCCCAAGACATAGTTTGTTTAACCTCAGTTTATTGAACACACCTTCGGCCTGGCCCTTCACCTGTCCACACATCCATGCAGACACTCACCTGAAACAGTTGGTATTGGCTTTTCTAGTAAAGAGCTGGGACTGGATGGTTCATTCAGATTCTGAACGGGCACGGGAGGAGGAGGAGAGGTGGCCGACGTGGCACGGAGAGTCTGAAAAACACTCAGGAGGACACAGGACCAAGGGTTGACAGTTGAAATGGTTCGCTTGAGTGGCTGTGGAAGGTGGATTGAAGGGGGAAGGGTAGCTCGTGTGCCTAAAATGGATTAAGTAGTATTTGCACCGCTGAAGGGCAGATATTCAAAGTCCACAGAGTATTTGAGAGTACGATCTAGTGGATGAGTGGAGTTGAGGAAGAGAACCGGTGCAGGAGCTTCTCTGTTCATCACACAGGACCCTTGGTGGGCTTGAACAGGATGAAAAACAGAATTTCATTTGTCGAAGGATCGCCACTAGATCAAGGCCAGTTTGCCTGACTGCACCAGAGGCAAAGGCAATCTTGCCACCAATTCCTGTAAGCCCTTTCTTAACTCCGGAATTAGGAAGAGCAGGTAGGGACAGAACTGGAACAATACACATGTAAAGTTTGAATAGTGATTTGCGCACAGATACATGTTTGGAGTCTAATGGAAAGGCAGAGTTCAGGAAAAAAAATTCACTTGCACGTTTGAAGTGGTCTTGTTTGCAGGGGAGGGAGAACTCATTCACGTTGGACTGCAGAGCCATTACAAGCTGAAAATTGTGTTTGCAAAGCCTGAGGCTGAAAGAGCTATTGCTGTTTTAACAATAGTCTGAACAAGATGGGAAGAAGATAGGGGCATGGTGTTGTGCACGCTTTCCATCGAAGCCTTTGAATCCTTAGATCAGGGTTTCTCAACCTTGGCCACTTTAAGACGTGTGGACTTCAACTCCCAGAATCCCCCAGCCAACATGGCTGGCTGGGGAATTCTGGGAGTTGAAGTCCACCCGTCTTAAAGTGGCCAAGGTTGAGAAACACTGCCTTAGACACACTCTGTGCAACACTAGCTGGCCTGGTCCAGACATCAAAGTTCATTCTGGTTCCACTGGCAGATTCTGCAGATCAAGTTACTAAGACTTTGCATCAAGAACAGCCACCTCACCTTGGCTGGGCTGCAAATTCCTTTTCGTTCTTGTACTTTCCCTTCCCCATACCCGTCATGCTCTCAGATTCATTCAAATGTATTTATACATGTGCAAACAGACAGGCCAAGAAATCTGGCAGACGTAATTTCCAACTTGGAAAATAACCAAAATCCATTTACCAGCTCAAATCCACATCCAGAGACATGCACAGATGCACCCTTAAGCCCACACAGAACACGGAACTGCTGCCTCCCTGGTGGGGGTGGTGGGGAGACTAAGCTGCTAGTCCTCGGGGGTGGGTTTCAAATGGCAAAGCCACCTGCCAAGATCCCAGAGGGAAGACCCAACATATGTACAGCTGTGCCTGATGGGGAAATGGATAAGGTTTTAGGGCCCTCTTGTTTTAGGGCCTTGCCCTCTTTCTCCAGCTCATAAAGCCAGATTCACTGAAGCAATTAAAACTGAGGAAGTAATGCAAACTGAGTTATATAAATCTGCTAAACTGCATATTTTACAAGTAGCAGGACTCAGATTAACCAGCGGGGAATGGATGCAGGACACAAATAGTTGCCCAACGTTATGAACGTACACAATTGACTATAATAGACCTCCGTTTCCCTATCGGGTGTTACAAATTTGAGACAATTTGCACAACCATTTTAATATAGACATCCATAGACTACTGCTCCCCCCTCCAAGTCCTGCTGTGCTGCCTCAACATGGTGGTGTGTGTGTGTGTGTTCATGTTCCTGGGCAGGATGAGCGAAGACCATCGGGAGTGTATGCCAAGAGCATATATTCCCAGCAGGGTCGCCCAGGGCGTGAAGGTCATCCCAGCTGCCCAGCTAAAGCCAGCAGGGACCTCTGTGGGGCAGCAGCGACAGAGGGAGAGGGAAGCAGAGGGTCACTCGGTGCCACTGGCCAAGGGACCAATTCATACTGCGCGGGGGAAGGCAGAGGTAACCCACTCCTGTATTTTCACCAAGAAAACCACATGGACAGACCCAGCTCTCTGGAGAAGGCTCTAATGCTGGGAAAGGTGGACGGAACAAGAAGAGGACAACCAGCAGCCAGGGGGATGGACTCAGTTACGGTGATGATGGGGGCATTGTCAGAAGGCCTGAAGGAGCAGGTTAGGGATAGATCCCTCCTGGAGAAAGTCTACTTATGTGGTCACTAAGAGTCGACACTGACTTGATGGCACATATCAATCAATCAATCAAACACTCAATCAACACTCAGTGATTACTGCAACACCCTCATCATAAGGCTGGCTTTGGAGATCTGCTGCCAGGCGGCTTCTGGGCCCAATCTGAAGACTTGCAGAGACAAAAAACTGCTCGACTCAAAATGATTCTGCTATCTGGTGAACTTATCTAGAGAAGGCCTAGATGTGAGGAACATGGCCTAGAAGGCAGGCTTTTTCCCTGTAGGGTGGCCCCCAACATTATGGGACAGGGAGCTCCCAGGCCCTTCCATCCTGGCATGCCAAAAGCAGCTGAAATTACTTTTCAGCAGACATTTGATCCCTTCTCAGATTATTCGGCCTGGGCAGCCTCAGAGGGTTTGGTTTTTGATGCCATTTTATTTCAGGGGTCAGAGTGGTGGTTTGGGGGAAACATTTTGTGTGTGCGCTTTTGACTTGTAGACCACCCAAAATGGACACGAGGCGGCAGCGTAACAAATGATATGAGGATTCCTGCCCTGGGCAGAGGGTTGGACAAGAAGACCCCCAAGATCCCTTCCAACAACCCCAGGATTCTATGATCCGTTTCTAAATGACAGGGGAGGGATCAATTGATCTACTACCAGCTGTTTTTCCTCACTCATCTCATTGGCAAAACCCAGGCCTCCAAAGATCAAACCCCGTTCCTTTCATTGCCTCAAAGTAGGGTGAAGAGAGATTTCACAAAGCAAAGGCTGCCTTTTCTAGGCCTGGCATGGGAAGGAGACACACTTCGGTGCTCTTCTTTTTTAAATGTCATTGCTCTGCCCCACCCCAGCTCAGCCTGAGCAGCACCAGTTAGAAATGTAAGACTATGATCGTTTGACAACAATTAGCATGTCAGAAATCTCAGAAACAAGCAGCCACAGCTGCTCTTCGAAACGCTGTTTTGTCTCCTACCATTTATTTTTAATAAAATAACTCAAGTACCCTAAGCCAAATCCATTTGAGTGAGAAGCACCGGGACAAATACTAAGACCCACGAGAGGGGAACTGTTTATTGTGGTCGTGCTGGAGTTTAAGCCTCCACAGAAAAACCAATAAATACAACCTAGAATGAGCCACCATAATATTCACACACTATGTCAAGAGTGCAGAGATTGGGGGAGGCTTAGAAACCAGGAGAGGAAGGATGAGGCCTGGATACCAGCATTCAAAGCTTTCTCTCCGGAAGTTCAAGGGTCCAAGTCCAAATTACAAAAATGAGAGGAACTTAATTTGACATGGGCTGCTTGCTTGCACTCACAACGCCGTTCCTCTCAACGGGGCAGAGGTCTGGCGAACATCAAAGGCGGCTTTGCTGACCCACATGGGAAAACCAGATGAAAAAGGGTGAGGGGGTGATGCCTCGATGTCATATTCCCTAAGGGAGGATGCCCCTGACTCTCCCACGAATGACCAAACCCGGCTCTCAGTGGTTGTGTGGCCGCCCTCTCCCTCGGCCGCGGCCCGGAGGAGGGGCGTCTACTGTGGACCGGGGGTTCTTGATGGTTTCATCCACAGACACGATGAGGCAGGCTGCCTCGGATGCGGCCGTCAGGGCGTTGATGCGCACAATGGCCGGTTCCCACACACAGGCTGCAAAGTTGTCTGCGATATCTTCGTTGTTCACGTCCACGCCGTACCAGGTCCCCCCCTGAAGGGCAGACAGAACATACGCGTCTCACAGCAGAAGCTACCAGCTACCTCCATCATCAGAGCCCGCCCTTCCAGCCTGCTTTGGCTTCTCCCTGCCTCAAATGTACGCAAGCCAATGGCTCCCCTGAGATCTAAGCAGAATATACAGGAAAGGGCTTTCAGTAGAGACAGGATTTAGGACACCATGACTGGCTGGTCTTGAGGAACATGTAGTAGCCCAGGAGAACCACAAAAGGTGGACATGCCTGGGAATTGTTAGAAACAACTCAGATAAGCAGTGCCCTCCTGGGCCAGGACCCCTGGCCCATCTAGTCCAACAATCTGTCTTAACGGTGGCCAAGGAAGGCCACTCATTAGTCTCCCAGCAATGGCCTTCAGAGGCAGCCCCGCTGCCGTTAAGGCTCGTAGCCACTGATCCCCAGGACTTCCATGGATTGGTCCGACCGATCTTTGGACAAGCTGCTGCCAGCACATCATGCTGAAAGGCTTTGAAAATGGACAGAAAAGTTAAACAAGCTGCAGGGGTCGTTTTCCTGTTCTTCCCATTCATGATTAACAGCAGACTATAATATACAGGAAATGTGGATCTGCACAAGAGAAATCACAGCAACTTACAAGCTGAGGAATTAAACCCTTGTAGTGGAAAAGCGACCTTCCTCCCCCACCCCACCCCACCCCACCCCACCCCACCCCCAGTTTTTAGCACAGATCGGGCTCTCCTTCAGCAGCAATGCACCAACTCTATGCCACCCCAAATCAGGCAGGCAACTGACACTGAAGCTTTAGTTGTTTTACTGATATGCTTGGTGGAAAAAAATTACTGCAGTTTTTATGTCACTGATTCAAGCCCCATCTTTCATGTTTGTGTTTTGTTATGCTGCAATGAGTGTTAAGTTTAAGTGCTTCAATTTTTCATTTGAATGATGCAAAACTACCTAAGGCAGGCTTGGCCCCAGAAGACAGCCAGAAGCACTTGAATAAATAATTCTTCTGGATAGAGCATCTCCACATTTTCATTTTTGAGCCTCTTAGTATTTGGTTCCTTAAATTCATGCCTGTTGCTCATACTGCAACCTTTACTCGCTTGTTGCTAGGCTACAACTAAGATTCTACCCAGCCCAGCCCCTGAAGAGAGCGCCAGACTGGGAAAAGCAGGCAGGCCTCGCTGCTTGAGGCAGGAACACAGTGGCTACAGCCACGCCCCACTCATTCACAGCTCGAGCAATTTCTCCTCAGCCCCAGAAAAGCAGATTTAATTCTGGAAAAAAGGCAGGCAACCGTGAAGATCGCCAGGGGAACCGTGGAGATGTAAAGGCCCAGGGCTCGAAACTTAGAGAAGCAGAAAGGCTATTCTGCAAAATCTATGGAATGCAGAGTTAAACGCTCACGTCCAATCTCCCCAGGAAGCTCACCTGCGCGTGCTTGGCTCGGAGCTGGTTGAGGACGTTGGTGGCATCGAAGCCGGCGTTGTCACAGAGCTGGCGTGGAATAATCTCCAGGGCTTTGGCATAAGCCCCTATCAGCAGCTGCTGCTTGCCCGGAATGGTTCTGGAATAGTCTCGGAGGTATTTGGAGATTTCCATTTCTATCGCTCCACCGCCGGCGACCACACAGTCATGCTGGGGAGGAAAAATCCACATCCCATCAGCAGAAATAGTTCACTTCCTCCAAGACTATTTTAAAGCTCACTTCCTCCAAGACTATTTTTGCAGCAGGCTTAAATTTGCGATATTGACACCAAAGACCGTATGATTGTGTATCATAGATCTAACCCAAACGACTGCCCATCTGGTGAGGCCCCACAAGCAAACACCCTCCACCAACTTGCTGGCGAAGAGAACAGGGGCAGCTGTTGCCTAAGCCGCTGAAAGAAACTGGGAATCCTAGCAAAGAGAGCGTCAGGACCGGTCGATGCTGCAGGCTTCTTAAGCACCCCACAGCTGGCGCATTTTTTCAGCCGAGACCAGAGAGAGACAGGCTCTACGTTCTGGCCCAGCTTTTCCCAATGGGGCCCTACGATTGGCGGGTGTTCAATTTCTGTAATTTCTAGGGAGCTGAAGTCCAACCCATCAGCCTGGGCAGGATGCACAGGACTTGTGCAGAAGACAGCCTTTAGAAGACCTCCACGTTGACCTTTGGGGTCAAAACACACTCAGCTGCTTCATGTGCAACCTGGCACCAAATAAAGATCTGCTTTCAAGCGTCTCGTTGGTGAGAAAACTGCACAAGGGCCTCCTCCCACAGAGAGCGCTTGCATCTTCAATTCCTTCTCCCCTTCAGCTAGCAGAAACAGTGTCACTCTGGGGGTCCTGCTATGAGTCAGCAGGCAGCCCCACTCCTGCAGCCCTGCTGTGCTCTTCAGAGCCATCATCCGAATTAGCCTGAATTTCCGAGTAGCAGCGCTCAGTTTGGTCCATGCCAGCCTCCACTCTCCTCTAAAATACCCCCGCTGCAGCTCCATTGCTGCTCCTCCTGCTAGTCATGCAGAGCACCCAACGGTCTCATGCAGAGTGGAGTTTAAGAGCAGGAAGAAAGCTCCCTGCAAACTTGGGTAACCTCCTTTTCAAGCCAAGGTAAGCCAACTGAAGAAAAAGTACTCTCCAAGATTTCCCTCAGAGAACTTATAACCCATTCCCCAGGGGAAATCATTCAATGAGTTCATTAAAAAATCAACAATTAAAAGGGAGAGTGGCTACACGCTTGAGCTTTGGAGAGGGGCCCACCTGCCCACAACAAACACCGATCTTTGGTTTTGCCCACCATTCCAGACACAGAGGCCCTTCTCAGTGATGGAAATTTTGTGACAGCATCCATGGTAAGGGCAAAATTCCAAAGGTCTCTCCAGCCCCCCACCCAGTTTCTTACTTGTGTAATGTGGCCCAGGACCTAGTTAGTTGAGGGAGTGCCTTTCTCTGGTTGTTCCTGTGCTCTGAGTCCCCCCCATTGCTTCAGGCAACATCATTTGATGGGACCTGGCTGGCGGGAATGGGGGAGGCTTCTCTGCTGTTGGCAGCTGCCCCCAGAACAGCATCCCTCCAGAGATTCAAACAGAGCTGTCTGTTTCCCCAGATTTTGGGCTAGAGAGGTCTTACAAGTTCTCAGTGGATGTTTGTTCTTCTGGGATGACTATCTTCCTTATTGGTTGTTATCGGTTTTATACCTTTGTTTTTAATTCTGTACAATGTCCAGAGTCACTAAGGAGTTGGGCATCCCTAGCAATGTGAATTATAAATAAACAGAGTTAAATGTTTCCTCCAGATTGTAGGAAAGTAGTTTAGAACAGTGTTTCTCAACCTCGGCAACTTTAAGATGTGTGGACTTCAATTCCCAGAATTCTGGCTGGGGAACTCTGGGAATTGAAGTCCACACATCTTAAAGTTGCCAAGGTTGAGAAACACTGCTTTAACGCCACTCTGGAGAAAGGCAGGAGTTTGTTAACAAAGGTTGCACTGTACAACCTGAACAGTGTGCTGTATCTTCCCAAAGAGTGACTGAAGAGATAATAGGGGGCAAAATTGGAGGTGTTGTGCTTGCTCGTTTTCCTTCCCCATTAAAGGGGGCTTGTGCCTGGGGTCTCAGGGGATTACTTTTCAGTGTTAAGATCGGAGGTTCATTCCCTTGAGCAACCTTGCTATTGAAAAGCTCTAAAGAGGGTTAGGGTTGCTGCCTGGGGAATTCTGGGAGTTGAAGTCCACACATCTTCAGGTTCTTGAGGTGGAGAAACACTGGTTTAGACGCAGGAGAGCAGACAAGGCCAACGTGGAGCAGTGGACGACAGAATATGTCACAACCCACTGCTATTTATAATCCAGTGAGAATCCCAGAACTCGATTATTAATTCTAAACACATCAACCCATTTCCCACCCATCAATCATGTACAGAATTCTAAGAGAGGTTCTTCCGAGTAAACAAATGAATATACAGCCTTAGGACCCTTTGGGTTCTCTAGTGTGGTGGCTGAAGCCCTCTCCCGCTGGAACCAAGAGAAAGCCGCTGCACTCCTAATGGGCAAATATTTCCTTGGGGGGCTGGAATTTGGAGTGGCAAGTCAGACAAGATCCCCCACCGCCAGCCCGCTTGCAGAAAGCCACAGGACGCATACCTTGATTGCTCTTCGAACGATCATAATGGCGTCATGGAGGGAGCGCTCCGTCTCTTCCATGAACTGCTCGGCCCCCCCTCGTAGGATGATTGTGCACGTTTTGGCCTTGGGGCAGCCTGTGAAGAAGTTATACCTGCCCAAAGGAGAGAGAAAGATTTTCCTTAATGAATGGAGGATGGAGGCTTCGAAGAGACAAAGCAGGGAGGCGGGGTGTCCGCAGGGTATGGTCAGAAAAGTCAAGATGGTGGCCAAAACAGGGCAATCAAGGCTCTGTCCATTTTCACGTACAACCGTCAGGGAGGTTCAGTAGTATAATTTCCCAACATTTCCAGGTGACAGCAAATTTCTGACGACAGTGCAAATAATTTAAAGGAGGTATTCCTGAACACATCAGACCCATTATTTCTAGGCACCCAAGACTGGTCATGGCATCACTGTAGCCTACAATCTGAGGTCAGGGAGAGGCAACTGGAACGCTCCAGATGAGGTACACTCCCGTGACACGGGCAGTGTCTGCTTCCAGGGGACTACAGGCTGCTCGGCCATAATTTAGAAGCACTGACAAGGCTCAGAAGCCCGGCTGCCAGTATAATCCCCGTTATCTTCTCAAATGCTGCAGAATGAAACGCAGTGATTCGCTGACCACCTGGAACAAGTGGGGCTCGTCCGAAGATTTCCCTGCCCCTCAAGCATCCCAGCCAACTGCCCTTTACCTCTCTCCCCCAATCTGGGCCTCCTCAAAGAGTGCGCAGCGCCCAAGCACGTCATCTGTCAGGGCATTGGCGCTGGTCTGAATGGATCCCCCGCAGGCCTGCAATGCAAGACAGCCCTTTCAATGCAATGTTTACACAGCACCAAACGTTTCAGGACCCTGCCCCAGCCAGATTTGCCCATTTTTCTAGCATAACATCTGTATATATTAAAGCACCTTGTTCCGCATAATATAATTACACTGCACATCAACTGAGCCTGCCCGCCCCCTCACTCCAATTCTGCGTCAGTGATTTCCTGCAGCTTCCACTCTACTGCTTGTTGAAACCCAGTGCATCAAGGGGTAACAGGGCCTTACCATCATGGTTCTCTTGAGGTCTTCTTCGGGGACTCGGCCAGCACAAAACATGTCCCTGTCTGCAAAGTACTGAGTAGCCACGTCTCCAATGGGCAGTTTGGAGAGGATGACTTTGGCCCCGGACTTGTGGAGCTTGTCCAGCTTCTCATATAAGATGTTCCATTCGGCATCCACAATGGCCTGATAATCCTGCAAAAGCAGATCCAAAAGGCTTGGGTTTAAATCATAACGACCACAATAGGAGGCTGTCATTTTCCTAGAATACCCCCCGCTTTCTGTAAGTGCTCCAATTGGGAAGTCCAAGAACGAGGCAGTGTGGCCTTGCGGCCTTCTGCCGCTGGGCAAATGTTCCATTTCTCAGAAGGAATGTGTAAGTGATGGGAGTTAAGGGACGGATAAAGCAGCCGTGTCCAGCCGAGACTTCTATCGCCACAAATCCTCCAGGACCCTCAGGTAATACCCTTCATCGAACCCCTGTCCCACTTCCCAGTCACATCTCTGCAGCTTCCGCTCTCCAAACCCTCCTAGTGAGAGACGAGGTCTTGCCTCCACATTGTGGACTCGGACTTCAGCGTTGTCCTTCTCCGCTTTGAGCTCCAACTCAATGTTGAGCAGGGCAATCTTGGGTGACTCGTACTTCTTGGGCTGCATCTCAAACCCAGCGTAGGAAAAGGTTTTCTTGAAGGCAACTCCAGCCACCAGCTGGGAATCCTGAAGAAAGACGAAACTGCTTATGGTGGAGTTTGGCAGAGCCTCCAGAAACATTTGGCTAATCTCTGCAATTCATAATATGCCCAGTTAACCCTTTAAAGCCTACCCAAAATAAACATAAAAAGGATCTGAATGCTCCAGCCCCCTCCGCTGGAGCTGCAAAAAAGGTGCAGGGGCCCATCAGATTACAGATTTCCCACTTCTGAAATATATCATGGACAGATAACCTTTTTGGCCCAGAGAAGCAAGGAGGTTCTCAGAGGAGAAGGTAAACATTTCCTGTGCGACCCCCAACTTCCACCCCTTTCCCTCCCAGTGACCTTCTGCATATGGCTGACCCCCCATGACCACCTGCAGCAGGAAATGGCCATGCTGGTTTCCCCCAATGAGCTAAGATGGCCACTGAGAAAAAATGGGAAGCCACTGCCATGGGCCATACTTTCCGTGGCCAAGGACATATTCGTTTTCTATTTAATGAATGAACTAGCAACTGAGAGGGTCACTTAATTCGATTTAAATGACAGATTATTACTCTTGGTGTGACAATCTGATGTTTTTCACGTACCGCTATGACTGATACAAGTCATTCTATTAGCAAGAAGTAGTGGAATAGAATAATAAGAATAGAAATACAGAAGCGTTTGTATTGCCACAGTGGAACCTAGAGTGTGAAAGAGCCAGGGTGGGTTCCTTTACATTCAAAGGTGCTAGAGCAGTGTTGTCCAAACTCGGCCACTTTAAGATGAGTGAACTTCAACTCCCAGAATTCCCCAGCCAGCATGGCTGGCTGGGGAATT